GAAGGAAGGTTGGGCAATCCTACTTCCGTAGTGATACTGCCTTGGAAACCCAAGGAGGGGTCGCTATGAGTCGGGTTTGACTCGACAGCACATAACAACAACAACAATCCCATTTATGGTACATGTTGCCACCTGGCGGGGACGTGTGTAACTACATGAGTCTGAAGAAACAAGCCTCATCTCACCAATCCTACCACCAGAGTCCAATGAGAATATATGTGTCCCACATAATTGTATTAAAATCCATATTACCTCAAAAAAATTTTCCCTTGATTTCAGCATCACTTCCTTTACTGAAAACTCATGGTGCCGACAGAGTATTCAAAACAGAAAATAATTGTGTCATAAAAGGTTAACCTTTAAAGAGAGGAGAAAAGCAAATACATTAACTGTGGTGGCTCTCCCTCTAGTAACCAGGCTTGAATGTGGAACTCAACACCAGGCTTCCTGGTCTCCAAGGTGAAAAGGGAAGCAATGCAACTTATGCATTGTGTTGTTTCATAAGAGAATTTAATAATTCCTCAAGGGAATTTAACTTTTTCCTGATATCAAATTAAAATAGGAACTTATCACTTTAAAAATATACACACCAATCTCTCTTAGTTTCTTAATTTTTCTAAAACAGCAGCACCACAAATGGGTAGCTTTAATGAACAGAAATTTCTTTTCTTAACAGTTTAGGAGTCTAGAAGTCCAAATTCAGGATGGAGCTCTAGAGGAAAGCTTTCTGTGTCCACTCTGGGGGGCGATCCTTGTCTTAGCTTCTCCAGCATTCTTCTTAGCAGAGCAATCTTCTCAGCACTACAATCCGCATTTATGCTTGTTCTCTGCCTAATCTGCTCCAACTGATGGATTTAAGACACACTCTACAGGACATGGGAGTTCAAGTGGCATAGTGCCTAAGGCATTTGACTGCTAACCAGAAGGTTGGTAGTTCAAACCCACCAACCACTCCTCAGAAGGAAGACTGGGCAATGTACTTCTGTAGAGATACTGCCTCAGAAACCCAAGGAGGGGTTACTATGAGTTGAATCAAGTCCATGGCAGTGAGTTTGGTTTTTCACAAGGAGACAGCCTTATTAAC